ATAGGTAAAGAACACATTTGCTGTTTTATTGGTGCCTTGCAGGGCAATAATACTGAAAAAGGGGAATGCAAAAGAAACAAAAACCAAAAACCAAAAACAAAAACCCAGGATGGTGGCAACCCACATTGTATTTTTTTTAAAGAGTACATCAACTCCTGTTTTTTTTTATTTATTGTGGCATGAATGATAACATAAAACCAAAACATGAAAATATACAACTTATATTACACTATGTGTTATGAACAAAATATAAATCTATAACTCTATGTTATATTTACATAATTATTTCTTTTATTAAATTTCAAGTGAGATGGTAGGTTGCACATACTTTGTTTTAAGCTCCAGGCATTTGATTGTCTCTATTTCTTTTCTATTTTCATTTCACTTGTAAAATCCAAAATGTTAGAAGGAGTAAGAGCTTTAGAGCCAATGGAGCTATATAAATACTGTTTCAGCAAACCAGTGACAAAAACACTGGGGAGTAGAGAAATCAGTCAGTAGAAAAAACGAACTTGACATGTTCTTCAATCTGGGAAACTGACAAGTTAAGATAAAGTTGAAAAAATGTAAATATAAACCAAGCTAAACAGCCAGCCCATGCCCTGTGAATTGAGGATACACTTGAATCCACATCTAGTGAATTACACACAGTTCTTTGCAAAATTGAAGGTATGATTCTATCAAGAAGTGGGCAGACAAAAATATTTCCTATCCGATACATCATGCCCTTAAACGTACGAGATATAGTTGCCATTCATTCTAGCAGATGAATCCTTGCTAAGTAAGGTCTACATTTCCACGGAGTATAATTATTTTTGATGTTAGGAACGTGATGTCAGAGGCTTCTTCGGGGACAATAACAGCTCATCTCTTTGGATTAAAAAGAAAAAGCTCTGAAAATGTGCTGTAAAAAGGTTAAAGACAATTTACTTTCTAAAAAATGATTTAATTAAAGAGAGAGTCTACTGCAGTAACCAAATCTTTGAAATAATGTCTTCGAAGAAAGAATTTCTTCCATATGCATTCGTAATAAGAGGATTTGGTTACAAAACTAATTAAATGCTATAATAATAGCTAGTGTTCTTTTCTGGGGGCCTGATTAATATAGCGGAACGGTTAAATAAAGATGTTAAATGCACTTAAAAATCCTATTTTACTAATATAAGGCATGAATAAATTGAAAAAGGATATACTCTGTGTTATTTAATTGAGCTTAGAAGCAAGTGCCTCAGTATTTTTTTCTTCTTTCTTTTCCCCTTTTCCCCACTGCTGGTGGTGTTCTTCTGTAAGCTCGCGAGATGTACGGCATAAGCGGCTCCCCCAGTTTAGGAGGAGGTGGCCTGTACGCCCCCCCGGCAGCTCCCCAAGACCATCCTCGCTCACCAGACTCCCAGGGAAGAGGGGAACGAAGCCCGCCTTGGCATTAGGGCCTCAATGCGCTTTTAGGTTAACATGATCCTAATCTTTTCTAACCTGGTTTTTCTACATGCTCCAGGGCACAGACCCCAGGAAAAAAAAGAAACAAGACAGTAAGATCTTTTTATAAAAGTATGTTTTGCTTTGTTTTGTTTTGTTGTTTGGTTTTTTTTTTTTTTTTTTTTTTTTCCCCTAGGAAATTAAAGAGGGACAAACAGGGCCTCATTTTCAAATCTGGTCTTCTACTACCGAAGGATATGTGGGCGTTCATCCTTGGACCCAATAAAACATTAGCATTAGATGTTAAGTATTTTGCTGGTTTGGGACCCCAGAGCCTTTTTTTTTTTTTTTCAGGTTTTTTTTGCCTTTTTTTCTTTTTAACGTTTCTGCATCGGTTTCAACACCCAAACGCAGGACGTGGATAGTCTGCTAAAGCTACCCATTCCAAAAGCCTGAACGAACCCCAGGTTCTAGTGTAGTCTCTCAGATGGAAATGTGCATGGTACCAAAATTAGCATTCCCCTGAGCCCCAGTCCAGGCCAAGGCAGCGAGCAAAGCAGAGCACTCCCGGAGAAGGGCTCTGTCACACCGTCCATTGCCGGGAGCAGAGCTTGGTCCTGCAGCCCCGGCGCAGGCGCTCCCTCGGCGCAGGACCAACCCTGCCCATGGAGTCGTGGCTGCCTCCAGGAGCGTCTCCTGCAGCGCAGCCCACAGCTCGGGGCTGAAATTCGGTCCCGCTAAAGTCAAAGGGCCTTTTTCCTATTGACCTCCCCGAGGCCAGCTTTCCAGCCCACGCGTCTAAGGCTTGCTCCAATCACGCCTGCCGCAGTGGCACCTACCTGGAGCTAAAACAAAGTATTCTGGTAGCCCAAAGTGACACAATTAAACCAGAGAGTCTCTATAACATGGTGGAAATCAAGCATCCAGCAAATGTGAGGTGAACCCACAAGAGTCAGAAGTAATTTGTTCACAAAGACAGGGAACAAATTTAAAAGTTAAAAAAAAAAAGGAGCAAATATCTGTTTTCACATTGTACATAATAATGATATAAAAACAATTGTCTATTTTTTTTTCTTTCTTATCCAAACAGAGTGCTTCAAAAAAATTGGCTCTAGATGACTGGTGTAATTAAATAACTAAAATGAGTGATGAGAGAGCAGAAGTTAATTAAGATTGAAAACAACACTCCCATTAACTCACTCCATCATAATAAACATCAGAAGTTGACATGGCTGGGGCCAAAATTAAAATAAAAGAAAGAGGAATGGTGTGAGCAGAAGAAGAAGCGATTTGTTTTCATATGTATATATATATTTATATATATATAAAAAGGCAAGGTGGGGAGGGGTACCCATTTTAAATAGCCTAACAGCTTCATTTGCTGCACTGCCAAATTAGAACAGAATAAAATAAAGTTAAAAAAAAGGGGGGGGATAAAATAAATTATACATAATTTACTAATCTGGGAACAGCTGACCATTATTATTATTATTATTATAATTACCATTACAACACTAGCAAGAAGAGGCAGTTCAACTGAAAAAAAAAAAACCAAAACAAAACCCAACACAGTCATAAAATACAAACAAAAAGAACCCTCTCTGACATGGAGGATATGATCAGCTACTCCAAGCATAACTTCAGAGCAAATCTTCTGAGAGAGAGAAAATAGAAAAGAATTTTTTGAGGCAGAGGTGGAAATCAAGAAAGGGAAAACAGGAGAAAAACAAAACAGATGTTGCAGGGTAAAACGATCACACGTCCAAACCGCTCGTCGGAGTATTGTCCTAAGTCTTCAATGGCATTTGCTTGTTTCCTTTGCACAAGGTCTGCAGAGGTCAAGTTACACTTCAAGTGGGATTTCAAGAGGCAAAAAAAGATCCCCCACATCCTCCTTCCCAGTCTCTCCTCCCACCTGCCCCTTTCATCCTGCACCTGAACTTAAATGGCTGATTGCACCAAGGGCTAAATTTGCCTGATTAAGGGACCTTTTGCAAAACCAATGTTGCCAAGTACTGAAGATCATGGTTCTGGCGAGTGCTTGGGCTGGGATCTCACCGGCACTAAGATGCAGAGGACTACTTTTACAAGTTAAAAGTGGTAACAATAGCAATGAGTCTCTCTCTAGGAGCAGGAATTTACCAGGGGGCAACATGAATATAAAGGTAGCATCCTCAGTTAGAAAACTGACTCAGAGGAAGGCTTTCGCCTCAGTACGATCCTAAGACTTTCCTTTCCAGGCCAGAGAGAAGCTCCTGGAGAACTGCTGTTTGAAATTAGGGGTAGCCTGGTCGGTTGGTTGGTTTAGATCAAATGCTTCTGTCTTGCTACACAAACCTGGGTCCTCTCCTTCTACAGGAAGATCAGAGTAAGGAGATGAAGAGACTCTTTGATTCACTTGTATTTACTTTTTTTTTTTTTCCTGACATAAAGCGTAATGTCCAGTTACCTTATTGGAAATACAAGAGGGTAACTTCTGCTCAGGATTATGCTTGTGGAAATCCACCTTCCTCACCTGGTTGCCATGGAAGGCAAAACCACCCAAGCAACATATCTAAGCGCTCTAGAACAACACTGAAAATACTTCAGCCCAGGAGATCAATTTTTCACTTGTGAGAGGCAGCAGCTAGGGAAACTCAGCACCGCAAACGTTCGGGTTCTTATATGCCCACTTTGAACATGGAAATCTCTTCTTAGCTATTAGTCTTCCTTCCTACACAAACATCCCGCTGATATAAATGGATTTCTGCAAGTGCAAAGGAGAAAAAAATGTCAGTTTAAAAGAAATTGCCTTTTGAATCAGAGATCAGTACTTAGCCACCCTGAAGGTATGACTTCATCAAAACTGGACATCATGGTAACCTAATTATGCTCAGTGAGGAGGTAACATTTCTAGTTGCCCTGTCCTGTGCAGAGCAAATCACATTTTGGACAAGCCTTTTTTTAATGTTGTACATGCTGCCACTTGAAGTGTAAATTAAAAGCAAAGGCTCCTTACAGACCAAGTCATTTGGAGGGTGCGGAACTTCATTCTGGAACATGCTTTTTGCTCACAATAATCCAATATTATTCTTATTAGTACCATAAACACGCACACATGAAAATCCAAGACCATAAAATATTTTTTCTCTAAATTTCTTATGTCTCTCTCTCTCTCTCTCTCTCTTTTTTCACCTGAGAACGGCACCTACAGTTTCCTTTAAAAAGCAAAACCAAAACCAAAAATATATGTCTAATCTCACCAGCTGCTGGTATATCAGGTTCTTCAAGGGATTGTCTAAGATTCAACACTGTCCTAACTTAAGACAGAGCAGGAAGCAAAAGAAAAGCAAAAGAAGAACAAAACAAGAAGAAGAGACCAACCAAAAAAAAAAGCAAATTGGACTAGTTCAGCGCTTTAGTACAAATTTGGCACTTGCTCAAAGACTCAGTATGGTGTGCAACTGATGAAGAGAAGTCCTCTCTTGAAAGGAAATAATTGCTTGTTGGGGTTAACAGAAACAGACTCCCCACTTCCTTCCTTGCCAGCCACGCGCACAGGCACGCACGCACACACACGCACACTTCTGACCCAGATTTGCCAGGGAGGAGGAGGAGACAGAGGGGGTAAAAGGAATTTTATCTTTTTTCTTTCCTGTCAGGTGCATTACCAAAAAAAAAAAAAATTATTTCTCTTTAAACTGTAGCACAAAACAACAAAACACATTCACAAGCCACTTGTTGGCACTGTGTACCTGAGTGAGAATTTCTAGAACATTGTAGAACAAACAGCCATAAAGTTTATTTGAAAAAAAAATAATAATAATAAAAGGTCGACGGGTAAGACTTCAGTGCTTGGGTATAGCAGCTGAATTACTGGCATTATTTTACCCATAGCTTATATCATTCTGTTGTTGTTGTCGTCGTTGTCTTTGTTTCCTTTCTTCTGAGCCTTTTTTTCTTCTGATGCAGGCTGATGTCTATTAGTCAGCTGATGTCCCAACTAGTTAAGACTAACAGTTAAAGTAACAGTCAGTGTATGAGAAAGTTAATGTGCTTGGCCACTGGCAAGGATAAACCAGATGGGGCTTTATTTGTTTTTTTCTTTTCTCCTTGAAGTCCTGTAGGTCACGAGATATTTGGACCCTGATCAGTTGGCTTGCCCCGCAATGTGATTTTCACTGTCACTGCCATAGTCCGCATCGGGGTCATCCTCTTCCTCATCGTATTCATCGTAGATTTCGCCATTGACGTCATCGGTCTGCATCTCTTCCTTGATATGAGGCTCCTCGCCTTTGATGCCGTAAGTGCTCTGGATGACGGGCATCCCGGGCTCCGGGCTGCTGGACACGCTCGAGTGCTCAGAGGGCAGATGGGGGGAAGGCATCCCTGCCATGGCAATGGCTCCTGGGTAAACTACGCCCGCGGTGGCAATGGGAATCTGTGCTTGTTGCCTGCCGTGGAGAAAAAGTAAAAGGATGTTTGAATACGTTTGAAGGCGTAAAGGGAGGGCAAGTACAATAGCACTTTGCAAGCCCACAGCATATGCCCTTGGAAGCTCCTGGATGGCCCACGCAAGACAACCCTTGTATCAATATTCCAGTCTTACTGACCGATGCTCTTGAATATCAAGCCCAAACCAACTTCACTGACAAGAAACCCCAATCTCTGTAACATCTCTACCTGAGCTACACAGCTTCAGCTTGCCTGCTTGCGATGCAAACTTCTTTACTGGGTAAACTGCGTGTCCCATGAGCTGCCAGCCAAAGATAAACATCCTTTCAACTGTGGCCCACCTTAAAAACCAGGTATTTTGAAATCTTCCTTTTAAATAAACCCAGCTGCTCATAGGACTAGACATAAAAGTAACATATTGACAACAGGAGAGACACGGCAAGGGCTAGGTAGTTTGCACAAGAATGGGGAGGTGCTGTAGGAAAGTACCAGTGGATGAGGAGAAAGCAAGGCAAGTCTGTCCAAAAAGGCAATGTTTACTCCACGTTCACTCACAGACCTGGCCATTATTAGGGAGAAGAACAGTGGGCTTCCTGGGGCCAACATGGGTTTACAGGATGATCACTACGGGCCTCCCACTGGAAGGTGATAACTTCCACAGTGAGTGGCATTTGTGAAAAGCAGAACCTTTGAAGGAAGGTGGATAAAATTGGGAAAAGGCAGACTTAAAACGGAAGCATGCATTATTTAAAAATAAATAAAAAGCAAGCAAGCAACATGAGCATTTGAGAAAATCCTCTACAGGATGCCTTTATACAGCATCTAAGCCTTGGAAACCTGTCTGCAGTAATGAAAGAAGAATTATTCCAGGCCATAGAAATTCCCTTTGCATCAAGAACACTAGCTGTGTTATACCAGTGTTTGTTTCCCTGAGAAGCTTCAGGGTCCCAACAAGCCTAGAGATTTAAAATTCATGCTCCTTTTGTTTCCCTGCTGCATGAAGTAATTCCATTGCAGTAATACTCTTCAGTACATGCTGCACATTGTAATGTCATCAGCGGTGTGTCCATCTGCACTGAAAAGCCTTGCCACAGGAGACAGGGCAGAGTCTCTTGAGATGAACATTCTTAATTAAGAATGAAACCCTCCCCTGTTCCCCTGCCTGCCTGTGCCCTGGCTGTACAGTAAGCCTTGCACAGTACAGTGATCCTGAAAGACTTTCCTCTGCCAAGCAGCTTTACATTTGTTTGGAATTGCTTGCTGCATTTTCAGATACTTCCTGCCTGCCATTCGCGCGAGGCCTCCCTCCGCACAGTCCTGATTTCCGTGTTTCTGAAACAAGTAGAAGTTGTCTCAGCTGAAGATACAGCTCTTAAAGTAGGGAGCGGATCTAATTTGCATTTTATTCTTAATTCAATAGGAAGGCTTTTGTTTTCTGGAGTCAGCATTTCTGTAACAAGATTCAGCACACTTAAATTGCTTTTAATATTTAACAATAGGAACACTTTGCACTTAAATGGTGCTTTTCAGAGTGCTTTTCAAATATTAAATAATTTAAGAATAGTATTATTCCACTTCTATAGGATGTCCACTCCAGAGGATCTCAGAGCAATCCTCAGATCCTAATGTATTAGGGCTCTCAGCAATCCAGTGAGGTGAGCTTGCTACACTACCATTAAAGATGAGGCCACTGAGACAGGGAAGCATTAAGTCCAAGAGCCGCAAAAAATGCCCAGTCCTTCCCACTGTGATGCCTTCGGACAGGCTTTCAGCACATCCCAGCAGCTGGCATAGCCACAGTTCTTGTAAATCCAACCACTTCTTTTGGTGCCCAGGCAGGAGCTGGGCTGGTGTTTGGAAGTTTAGCCCTACATGACCTGTACTGAGTGATGAAGCAGACGGGGAACTAAAACCAGGAATGCAACTGTAGTGCTGCGACTACCCGCATCAAACACCGACCTCACTGCAGTCGTCGGCCGCTTTGTCAGTAACTTCCATAAAAATCTCACCCCAGGTTCTGTGCTCTAACACCCCTGTGCAAATTATCTCCAGAAATGTCTTGATTTCAATGTCAGCCTTGTTTGCAAAGCTAAATAATATGCAGAATGTTACAAGGTTAATTTTTTTTCCCATGATGGAGCATGCATGTTAACCAGATAAGCAGTGTTTTGGGGGCTCTGTTGCCACTTATTCTTTTTCCAGAAGGCCCCCCTCCTCTTTTTTTAATCTCTTGATGCCAAATGTTGGCTGACTTCCCTGTGTTTGTTTCAGTGCTTACCATTGGGATCACCGGACCTGCCAGCGCCACAGGGTTAAGCAGCTCAAATTTCTCTGCTGAGCAGCTTATTATAACAATGCACACTGTAGCTGTTTAAAACACAGTCCGATGACACTTAACAGTTGCTGAACAGATATTCTCTCCTTTATTGCTACTTCTAGCCATTAACTAGAGAGATGTCCAGCTCAGTTAATATTAAAATGATTCCAAATTCCGATGAAACAGAACACAAATTCCATTATTTCTGAGGGTCGCTCGTGTTGCTGGTTTTGCTTTTTTTAAGACCACTGTGTAGCTTTTAATTTCCTGGAGTGAATTCAGGAATATTGCAGAATATTTGATTACTTCAATTCTTTTGATCTGCTGCAACCAAAACCAAGGAGTCTTTGCAGAAGGAAAATACATGCTAGTTTTCTAGGCAGATTTTAATCTAATATCAAGCTAATCTATTAGCTGTTTATCAGAACCGATCTTCTTGAAATATATGCTCAACACGAAGCGTTTAGCTTACTGTACTGGACGACACTCCCTAGTATGACAAATGCCGTCATGATGAACACCGCAGACGACTTCATGCCTGATATGAATTAACTAAGCCAAGTCCATATTCCAGCTGAAGTTCAGTACGTTCAGCAGTCCTTTTGCAGACCACTTGCCACGCTTCATACTGAACGCAAACCTGTATTTTTGGATTTTACATCAAGAGGCACTACCATAGATTCATTCAGATATAATCTCTGAAGCTTCACAATGAAGTAATACTTATAAGGCTTTATTAGAAGACTTAAGTTTCATTGGAAAATCTTAAGTTTGGTTTGGGGTTTTTTTGCATGATCAGAGTGGAAATGAGACAGTTGGTCGAAGCTGTAAGATGAGTATATAGCAGAGCCAACAAAAAAAAATCCCTAACTGCCTAACTTCCTCCTGGAACACATTGTTTTAAAGTATAAGCTTCATATTCTGTTAGCAATATATAATGTTCTTGCCAATAAAATACAACATTTACCACATTGAATTAAGAAACCTCCCTGAAAATTTCTTTTTGCTGAAATGAGCGGTAGTTTTTAAAGGTTCCATACCCAACATTAAAATACTGCCTCATCTCCTGGCGTCTGTTGCGCATGATAGCCTTGTACTCGCCGATGCGTAATTTTTTGCCATCTACAAGGCAGGTACGCTTCGGCCTTGGCTTGTATTTGTAGTCTGGGTATTTCTCCAGGTGCTGTTTGCTGAGTCTGGCCTGCTCCTCATAGTATGGCTGCTTCTCTAGGTTTGTCATAGCTTTCCAGCGAGATCCTGTCACCAAAAAAAAAAAAAAAAAAAGAATGAAAAATGAGATTGTACTCATCCACAAACACTGAAAGGCAGAGAAACAAGTAGGTCACCCAGAACAAGATACCTACGGTCATATCGCTTTGGGCTGGGAATCTGTCAGAGCTTCTAGACAAGGGTCAGGTCTTGTTTGTATTTGACTGGTAAACCTCTTGGGTATGGCCAAGAGGTAGAGAGAGATGTTACTGGAAGTCATAACTCAGTATTTTACTGAAACTAATCTACATTATAATGTCTTTCAGGTGGCAAGTAAAACCATCATCCTGATAATGTGCAATCCCTGACACCTTGTTTTAGAAAACAAGGCAGTGTATTTTAGTGAAGGGTCAAAGACCTCTTAGACACACAGAGTCTGCTCTGCTACGTCCCCCACACTTTCCTTTGGCCATGGGCCTGTATTAGAGGAGGCACCGCTCCCATGTGCTGCAATCTAGTCGCTGTGCTCCACCACGCCTGGATCAGGGCATAAACTCTGGATATGCATGTGTCTACAGCTCAGTCTTTCATGACAAATACCGTATCTTTCCAGCTTCCAGGTTTGTGAGAAGCAGAATATGAGCTGATCATAAATGCTATGTTGCTGGGTACGGAAGCCTGCAAAGACCCTGAAGCAATGCCTCTAAAAGCTATAAACTATCCTGTATGTCTCAGTGGGGTTTTAACTCCAAGATCGAGTCCTGGTGAACACTGCCAGCTCCAACTTGAAGAATTTAGTATGTGTCATGAAGAGAAGAGCACTGGGATACTGGCATACCTCTCCACAGAGCCACACTACGGCTTCATTGCTGGCAGCCTTGTTTTTAACACTCTGCCTATGTTAGTTTGGATGTTTGAGCGAGGGAAATAATGAAGACTTTACCATTTTTTTCAAATACCTTATGAAGTTTATAAACTAATATTTCTTAAAGGACATAATACGGGACCAGAAAGCAAAATTTCTTGAATCAGTTATCCTATTTTATTTTTCCATGAACTACAGAAGTGCTTCAGGGTAAGATACATTTCAAATAACAGGAATGGTCTGAGCTGTGAAACATGTGGCCTAGAAGGAAAACTTTATTGGAAAATAGTCAATTTTCCCATTGGAAAAAAAGTTTCAATAGTTTCTCAATTTAATGGGTTCATAATGTCATATGTCATACTTGACTTCGTCTTGTTCTTCATTTTTTATGGTTACTCATACTGTACTTAGCTCATGCTATTACTCAGGCTGGTCTTAACTCACAGTGCCTCTAAGACTTGCAATATAGAGAGCAAAGTTATCCCTTCCCAGGAAAGAAAACCAGTTTGGTTCCCTATAGATGGGTCCCTTCTGATTATTGACACCATTTTCCCCATTGCTCTTTGAATCTTTATTCCAAGCTGCGGTTTGGGCTTCTGGAGTGAAGGGCTAACAGGCTGCTACAGCTTGATCTCACACCTAGAGATAACAGATTTGTAAATGATGATGTCTTTGTTCTGAAGAGGAACAACAGACATCCCTTTCTAAGCAAACATTACTTTGGAGTCAAAACCATAATTTTTCACGATGTTTGCAACACATAACATGCAGAGATCCTCCAGTTCCGGTACTTCTGGAATGGGAAACAGTTTAATTCCATCGTTATTAGCTTAGGCGCAGCACCGTATGAGCGTGACTAGATGGTTTCTAGTATTTGGATTGAACTCCTGCACGGCACTTCGTATGTCATACAGAGGTAGTGTCTGTGCACAGGATCTGTGGCAGGGCTCTGTGTTACGCAGGGCAGCAAAACTCTGCAGCCAGAATCCTGGTCAGCAGCTTTGTCTCCTGCAGAGAAATTATCCCAAGCTTTTTCTGGCAAAGAGAGTGGCTAGAAAAAGTGACACCAACTTTATACACATACCTCCTACATTTTGAGCTAAATGACACAGTGATAAACATGTGGAGAATACCAAAACACTTAACACCTACTAACGTTGCGTAAGATGGAAAAGTAGACAGGGCCTGTGTTGAACAATGTTAAGAATTCAGGGCAAAGCATATGAGCTCTACCGGAAGATGCCCAGACGTAGGTCTGCTTTCAAATTCTACCTTGCAGGCACTGGCACACTGGCGTTCTAGCATAGGAAAAAAATCATTAAAGTTAGTCTAAATCTAGAGTCCTCTAATCACAGACCTGCTGTAGTCCT